TCGGGCAGGTGCCCCGCGCTCCCCTCCTTCTCCGAGGAGGTTTTGAAGGCGCCTAACGCGCCCTTGCACTTACAGGGGGGTCCCCGCAGCAGGGACCGCGCCCGCCGCTCCCCCCGCCGCCTTCAGGCCCACGGGAGCTTCTGCCTCAGCCCTTCGAGGGCAGCAGGGCCGAGGAGGGAGCAGAGCGGGAGGAAAGCTCTGGAAAGGGTTTGTTTATTCACTCAGCGAACACTGTACAAATATTACAGCAATTTTCTTTTCCTTGCAAAAGAAAAAAAAAGTATAAAAATAATCTTTATATAGGAATCAAAGTTCATTTGTTACCGTCAAGTTTCTCTAGATACCTTTTTTCAAACATTGTCTAACTGCTGGCAAACATTAACACTTTGAAGGAGGGCACAGATCAGGCAGTACACCGAGAGCTCTAGCTACACACAAGCTGTGGTGCCTAGTTAACACACATGGAGGACCAACAGTTTTCAGGTAGCTCCCATGCAAAAAGAGGGAAGGTTTACGGACTGGCGCATGCAGAGTGAAGTTCACTGCCCTCTGGGGCTCCCACACGGTCTCCATCTCATCAGCACTCACTGCCGGCAGTGGAACTAGAAGATGCCCAGTAGCACCCATTCCCATCAAATTCTTCACACTTTTCCAAAGCAGGATGCCAGTACTTCACAGCAAAATTCGGCCACCGTGAGCTTCCCAAGCTGCGGAAAGGAACGGGTCTTCTGGAGGAGTCCCAAAAAACTTGTCAGCACCACAGCAGGAAGGCAAGCCCCAAGTGTGATGCTCCTCACTTCTGTAAGCTCCAACAACTGAAAGCTTCACATCCCTTACTGACGATGCCCTGACCAGGGCTGGTTTTGTGGTTCACACACAGCTGAGTAGTGAAATAAAACATCAGCTGGTTACATGGACAGCTGAGAGCTACCTCCATGGAAGGGCAAGCCCTGCTTCTCGGCCCAGCCCCTCTGGCAGTTTGCTGAGCCGGAAAGACTCGACAGCTGCTACCACTGCGATGGCAGGGAGATGTACAAAAATAAGATATTCAAATACAGGATCTGCCCAGAGACCTAAGCAGGGGCATGCAAAACACAGCAGAAACCCACAAGGGGTTTTTACTCCAGATAGCTAAAATGCATGGGATCCAAGACTGGTATCACCTCACCATCATAAAGATCCTACAGCAGACCTTCCATTACAAAGCGGCGAAGAAAAGCTCAAAAAAAAAAAAAAAAAAGGGCAGAGAAAGCATCATGCTAGGTAGCATCAGGACATCAGGATCAGGAATGGAGAGCATGGGTATGGACACTGGAGGAACAAAGTCAAATATACAGAAAGTCCGATCCTGAGCAGATGCTAATAGAGTAAAAGGAGGAAAAACCTACTGTCTAGTCTGACAACACCTACATAACTTGTCACAGCAAAGTACTACTGAGTTGTTACTGTCTGGTTGCCTTTTAGACAGCTGAAGGCTCAAGTGCAATGGTTGGAGAATACAGCAAATATGCAAATGTGAGCAGGCTCTGATGTACCTAGAGTACCTTACATACAACAGCCGAAGCAGTCTGGCCTTTCCAACATCTTTCCACTCAGGAAAAAAAAGAAAATGGCACCCCTTCTTTAGTCCTGTAGAAGCAGCTCAGCTGTTGCTCAAGAAGCTGGATGCCCTGCGCTCGTGCATGAGCAAAGTGGTGCACTACCCCACTGCAGAAACAGTATTCCTGCTGATGCACAAGCAGGGAAACACTTGGCTCAACTCCTGGCTCCTACTAGGAGGCACAGCTGGCTAAAAAAGAAAAAAAAAAGTGCTTTTTGCTTGAAAAACATTAACTTGGTCTGCAAAGAAATTGACACTTTGGTGTCAATATCTTCCCCTGCTGTCATTCAAAACATAACAACCCCAAACTGAACTGCTCACAATGAAAAACCTAGCTAACTACCTCCGGGCTTGTGAACTGACCACAATACTAAGGCTCCTTGTAGCAGCTGGTACCTAGGAGGTGCAAAGTGCATCTAGGATTGCAGGAAATCCAAGGCATGCAGATCTGAGGAAGCTCGGAGAGGCACATGGGCAAACTCTACAGCTGAACTGGGAACACTCAAAAACAGACCCTTTGAAGTGAGGCCCAGGATCCAGTGGAGAGACAGGGATACAGCGGGACGAATTAAGTCAAAGACCTCATATGTGCAACACAGGGAGGAAAAAAAACTACAGGGAGGCTCCCGGCCTGCAAGTCCGTATCTCTTGGTTTTGGGTCCACATGAGAGCATCTCTGGATTGCTCATTCATTGAGCTCTAGCACAAAAGGAATCCAAAAATAGACACTTTCCAAAGAGTTACAAAATGGTCTGTGTTTGCGAGGCTCACAGCCGCACTGAGAAGTCAGAGGTTGAGGACAGGCACATCAAAGAGGTCACAGACGCCTTCACTCTCATCCAGGTTATAGATGTAGTCATGATCTCCAGGAGGAGGGGAGAGGCGGAGCAACGGGGCAAACACTGGGAAAGAGAAACCCTTGGTTACAACGTTCAGCACTTGGCACCCAGCCACAGGGAGCTGCATGGCACAGAGCTTTGTTGGCTCCTGAGGAGATACAGGTAGGCCACTTCACAGTAACATTTCTTGAGCCTTCTCTGAATCAGCCTCTGCTTGTCCTCATCCACCTACCTCTTAGGGGCTAGCAGGACATTAAGAACTAAGTCTATGTCCAGAGCCCCAAAAATATGAGAGTGAGTCTGCGAGCATGAGGCTGACCAGCTGAGTAAAGTCACACAAAGCAGCCTTCCTTCCCCAGAGAGCCTATAGCATGAGGTGGAAACTCAGACTCACCTTCAGATGACATCAGCTCTTCCAGCAGCTCAGAGTTCATACATTCTGAGGAGAGATGAGCACGGTAAGCAACTCGCTTTACTTTCCTGGTCTGTGCCTGTGTTGTTTCCTACCCTTCCCAGCCTCTCCTGATCCTCACCCTTGTTATCCTTTCTTTGGATAAGGGAGTGCAGCAAGGCAGAGTACATACAGGCAGTGGCAAAAGAAAATTTGGGCCTCCTGGCATGAGTAAAGGGAAATTTGTGTCAGATAATTCAAGCAACATCAAAAATTCTGCAGGAGATTTTTGCCTGCTTAGCTCAGTCATAAGCCAATGAAGGAAAGTCTTCAACAGGCATCTGAAGCTGCAATGGCAAAGCTCAACACATTAACAGTCCTCAAATACCCACTGGCTTGGCCAAAGTGGATGGGGAAGGGAGAGGTTCCATAAGTAACAGATTAAGTCATCTCCACTTTCCTCCCAGTCTGTACCCTTTGTTCCCCTGATTTGCTTCCCTTGTCCCACAGCTGTGATGTGGTTAATCCAGCAACACACATACAGGCAGATTTTCTGGCTGTTTGCTGCCAAACAGAATGAACATCCCAGCTCTACATATCCCTCCTTTACAGGCCACTAAAATTGCTTCCTCCCTCTACTGCCCACACTAAACGATAACAAACTTAATTACGTCTGAAAGGTCACCCCTTCCTCCAGTGCAGTCAATCTTGGCTGGTAGCTCACAATGCGCTTGAAGGAAAGTTGAAAGACAGGCAGGCAAAGCAAGCCCAGATCAGTCTCTTCTCTAAGAGGCTATGCAATTGAAAACAAGTTTCTCAATATCCCTCTCACGTACCCAAGACAAAATAATGATCTAACTTAGTCTAACTGGACTAGTGAGATGCTACCCACACTTGAAATGAGCCTTCACAAAAGAAACTCAAATAAGCCCATTCTAAAGATGCTTATCCATAGTGAGCAAATTAAATACAGAACTTTGTTCTTCCTCAGGTCTAGCAATACAGCACCATGTGCAATGTGTGAAATTCTGCCCTTTCCAGGATATGAGTTTAAAACAAGCGGTTATTTACCACCAACTCAAGAGAGACAGAAAATCATACTTAGAAAGTAACTCCAACATACAGCAGTAAGGAAGAACTCTGGGCTCTCATGCTTCAACTACAAAGGCTTAAAGCAGGAGAGAACAGCAGGGCGACATCACTGAAATCACACAAGGATGGAAGAGAATACATGAAGTATGCTGCAAAGCCCATTTCCCTAAGCAATGAGTGTTGCTTTTTTTCCCTGGCCTGGGCTTTGCCACTGTAGCTGTCACCTATTTGGCAGAGTAGGACTTCTGTGGTCAACTCAAAAGGAGATCACAGTTAAAATCTCACACTGCCATTTGTATTTTCCTTCACTCCTGGATCTCTGCTTTATCCTTGCACATTAGCAGGAATAATCCATAAAACAAGATTAGCATACCTGTAAAAAAAAAAAAAAAAAAAAAAACAGTGCTTATATGATGACTTAATAAGATAGAGTTGGTTAAGCTAGCTGGAGCCTTGCAGCAGTTTGCAAGGAGTCCAATTTACTTCTTGGATGTATTTAATCATTACCATGAACCTCATTCACTGCCTACAATGGCAAGTACTCCAAGTGCTGGGCTGAGCATGCAGGAAAGATGCTCTCCAGGACTGCCTTGAAGCTTGTCCCAGGGCTCGGACAACACACATCAGACCATCATGTGGATCACATTTGAGACTCTGGATTTTTTCTCAACATAGAAAAGGCTTTCTTAAAGCGTTTTCTAAAGCAGAGGGCTAGGAACTCCTGCCCTTAGCATCAAAGTCTGTTCCACAATTAGGCAGTGACCCCAGAAGTTCTGTGGACCAAGGCAGAACACCTAACATTCAACAGCATCTTCTCCATTATTGTTCCAAAATACTTGTACCAACAAAACCACCAAGGGATATTTCAAGGAGAGGAGATTAACTCCCTAGATTATTTGCTTTGATTTGCTTTGGGAAGGCTACAGTTGAAACAAGACTTAGATGGATTTTTCTTGTAACTCCAGATGGTGCAGAGAAGTCGGGAGGAGAATGGGAAAACAGGGTACAGATTAGCATGGGCTTGAGGGCTGGAAAGTCCTCATCTATACACTGCAAATTCTGCAGACACTGCTGGCAAAAGGAAGACTGAGACACACGTGCAGAAAACAGTAATGTCAAGAGCATCCACCTACAAGCAAGAGAGCCAACAGCCACCAATGACCACAAGCACGTTGCAAAATGACATTCCCAAAACAACCAAAAAGGAAATGAATAAAATGAACTGTCCTGCTTCTGCTGGTAGGTGGGCTAAGAACAAGGCCGTGGTCAGAGAAGGAACATACCTCTTGTTGGATCAAACATCTCTGAGAGCTCTTTGGGAAGTTCCAGTACTGAAATACAACAAACCAAATGGTTTGCATCATTACATGAAGAGCCTGACATGCTTTACAGCATAAATGCCTACAGTCCCACTATACTCTCGATTCCTATACCATGCAGAAGTTCTGCTTCCATGTACTGTGTCAGTTCTATCATCTGCTCAATCATCAATAAATGCAATAAAATACTTTAAGCTTGACTAATATAGAACTGTAGGAGTCTTGGCACATGAACCTGTTAACACAGGCAACAGCTCAAGTAAAAGCCCATATGCAAGCCTCACGCCTCAGCTTCCATGCAACACCTTGATTTATCTTGTGCAGGACAAAGGCATGCCTCTAGTCAGTCAACACAGATCCATGGAAATTCAGTAAGGTACACATGCAACCAAAACTGAATTCCACAATCAAGACTACTACTCCAAGATGCTGTGAGAAGCAGAAAGACAACACTGCATAAGCTGACATTTGGACAAGACTCTCAGTTCTAACTATAACTCTCTAACCTTTTTTCTTTTTTTTTTCCTCCTTCCTCTCTCTCTCTCAGTGAAGGCAGGTTCCACAGCATCAAAGCACACTGCCTTACTCTTTGGCCAGTTTTCCATAAAGCCTAAACTTTCCTTGTTTAAAGCCCACTTCACCTCACCAAGCACAGTAGGAAGCTCCCCAGTTTACACTGCAAGACCATTAGGACTGCAGCATTACTAAAGATGGATGAAGCATTGCTCAGCAGAGCAACAAACCAGAGACAAAAGCTCTGCCAGTAAGGGAAAACTTCCCAAGGGTTACAGAGGTGTTTCTGGTGAAAGCTAGAAACTCCAGCTTTGCACAGTCTCCAAATCTGGTCTTTGCCTAGAGAAGGGGCTGGAAAGGAATAATTCTACATATAACAGCAGAAACTCTTCATGTGGGTGACCCCTGTACCTACTCTAATTCTGTCCTGTTCCTCAGTACCCTCACACAGGCAAATCTTCTCACCGGGAGATGCCTTTTCATCCCTTGCAGAGCCTGCCTGGCAGCAAGGAGCTCAGCTTGTTTTTGCGGAGCACGCTGCCTTCCCACCCCCTGGAGCAGCTATGCTGGCAGGGCAACAAATGAAACGAGGGCGCCTACTCACTCCCTGTGGCATCTGGTTTGATGGGCTCAAAGGAGGTAGAGGGGTTGGGCAGGACGGAGCCACTGTCCAGCGAGGCAGAAGACTGCAGCGGCTGCGTATCCAACCCAGCTGGCTGGCCGGCCGGCGCGGGCACCGAGCTGAGAGGCTCAAAGTCCCCACCACTGCTCTTGGGCTCCACCACGGAGACACTGCATTCTGAAAACAAAGGAAGCCACAGACATACACAAAGGTTATCTTAGAGATGTGCCCTGGAAGCCCCAGAGCAAGCAAACCCAGCACAGAACAAACTCTTGCTGGCAATGCCAACCAAGCAAACAAGAGAAAAGCGACATTTTTTGTTTGCCTTTTTCCCCCTCCCAACAGGAACAAGCAGGTCCTGCAGCAGCTCTGCTGGAGATAGTCTTTGTAATGCCCAGTGGCAGATGAACCACATGTGCACTCACAGCAATTAACACAAGCCACACATCAATCTACACCAGGAGAAGCATGGCTGGCAGAGCAAGAGAAATTATTATCCTCTAGCTTGGAGCAGAGAGCGCACGTGGAGCACCGTGCCCAGCTTTGACCAACCCCAGCTCAAGAAAGCCATCAGAAGATCCAGCTGTGGGCTGCCAGAATGACTGGAGTTTAAGGCGCATGGCCAACAACGAGGGGTGGAGGCAACTGGGCTCAAAGTGTGGCAACAAAGAGGCTTAGGGCAACCTAATAGCATCTTACAGATACCTGAAAAGCAGTTTACGGAACCAATTTCTCACTGGTGCCAAATGATATAATGAAGACAAGGGACACAAGCTGCAGCTTGGAAGATTCAGCCCTTAGGATGCCATACAAACGCTCTCACCTGTGCTAGGAGCTTTCTGTGCGGGAGGGCTGTGGTCCTGAGTGCTGGTAGGCGTTGGTGTGGAAGGCTGGGTGCTGCTGGGCACAGATGCCTCCTGGAAATGGGCAAGCGGTGGGATCTGCGGTTTTGAGGGCACAACTGGCTGGCACTGAATGAGGTCTTCAGGGGGAGGGACAGGTAGCACTACAGGTGGAGAGCTCCAAGCATCTTTGTTTACTAAAAGGACATCAATTGGACCACTTGTGCTCTTCAAGTGGATCTGGTATTTCTTCTGCCCATTTACGCCCTGAAGAAGGCCAGAAGCAAGACACACAGACATAGATTACTAAAACAGGAACTTTCCAGAGGCACAGCATGCTGTCCAGAGAGCTCAACACAGTCCCACTGTTCACTCAGAGGTTATCTCCCAACTCCCACAACTATCCTTCCCTCCCACGTCCCTGCAATTACTTACAACCTCCAAACAACAGAGCTGGCAATACTGACTACCCAGGGTTTTCCTTGGGCTTGCCAGGTCCTTCAGCTCCATCACACCCACCACCACTCCCAGCCTGGTCAGTTCAGCAGCCCTCACTGCCCACACACCCATCACTCACCTCGGGGATGGGAACTTCTAAACGCGTGCCTGACGGGGCTCGAATTGCCAGCAGGGTATCTCCTGTGAAAACAGACTGCTCAGCATTTGGCGGGCACAAACTGTTAGGCTGACAGAGAGACCCTCCTCAAAATGTGCCCCCCGCAACCACCTACTGGAGGCATCATCAGCCATCTGATCTCTTGCTCTTGCCACAGGCCACACTGTCCTCGCTTCCTTACAGAGTTGCCTTTTTATCCCATCTGAGCTGCTAATCACATCAAACTGAATGTGCCAAGAGCTCAAAACAACTAACAACCCCCAAAGTTTCTCGTTTCTCCCAAAGAGAAATGCGTTTTAGTAGCATTCTTAGGAGGATCCACTTTTCTTGCCCTCAGCAGGCACACTGAGACTAGCTTAAATTCACTCTAAGAATAACCTGGATACCAAGGGAAGGATGCTTAATCTTGTTAAAAGTTTCTGATTGACTTGAACTGTGAACAAACCAGCACACAACTCGCAAGCTGCAGTGCCAGCAAAGAAATGTGCAGTTCAAGAGACGGGCTGCTAACAGCACAGCGGTCTCATGCTGGAGGATCGCGACACAGATATGACTTTCTGGTCTTCACCAGCAAGAGCTGCCTGGTCCTACTTATGGGACTCTAGTAGGAGGACCCTGCACAGGCTCAGAAAACACTGGGCTGAGCGACCAGGTGACAGCCTCTTCCCTTTTCAAATTCCATGGCTCCTGAAGATCTGCCCCCTTAATACAACACAGACAAAAAATCTCCACTATACTGGGGCTTGCACTTAAAAATGGTAATACAAACATAGAAATACCAGTACCAAGGACATAAGTCATATTTAGGCTGAACAGTTAGCAGCTTTCACTTTGAACCTGCAAACTTTTGCATGATTAGATGCATCTTTACACTTCACTGGTATTTTGCATTAGACTTCATCATTAACACAAAAGATCCCCAGTGCGCTGAGCGAGAACGGACAGCAGAACGCCACATCCTTTAATTTCAGGCAGGAAATCAAAAGTCAGAGCAACAGAAGATACAAGGATTAAAAACACCACAAAATTTCACAGTAAGATCAGATTCCTTTAACAAATCTGCACTTCGAAAGTGTTAAAAGTTGTTAGAAGTGTATAAAAAAAACCTCAAAGACACAAGCTCAGGCTATAATTATAAACTGTAACTATAGTTATAAATATATAACTATAAGCTATAAAAAACCCTATATTCCTCTGTCACTAAAAAAATTTACACAACTTTATTAACTCAAATACTGAATACATATTTGAAAAAAAGACCAAGAATGAAAACCTTCAATCCATAACTCACTTTCTCAAAGTGAGTTCAATATCATTCAACTGCAGAAGAGGGAGCTGAAATTCAGCCTTCATTACAATTCAAAGGCATAATAGGTCCAAAAAAAAAATTTGCAAGGAGATTCAAGATACCCCGTAAGTCAGTTATATACCCAGTAAGGCTGTATATACTCATACAGCAAAACCAGGCACACACTGAATATCCTATAAAAAAATCTGTACCAAGATGCTGTTCTAGAAGAATCTGCAATCTAACCTGTTCTGCATATTTTGGTGAGGTCTGGCTTCTGATGTAAAACTGCCTTTGAGGAGGAGAAAAAAAAAATGCATTAAAATGCAAAACAATCAACCAAGCAATCGTGTGCCTGTGGATCTCCAGTAAATTCTTCTAGGCTGTTACAAATTACCTGGTCCCAAGCACTGGCAAACTGTAAAACACAATACCTGCCCCAAGGAAATGACGACTTAAACCACAAGAAACAGTAAAAAAAAGGGGGGGTACGGCATGCACAAGTTACTGTCAGGAACTGAAAAAGATTAAAGTCTGGAAAACGAGGACCAAAGGAAAAAAATAAAAAAGGGCAATGAATACAAAGAGAAGAACTAGCAAAGGAGCAATGAGTAGGGTGAGAAAATGTAAGAGACGAAGAAGGGAGGCGGACAAGGATGAGATTACACATGGCTGGGGCAAGCAGGGTAAGTAGCTTCAGTCTCACAGGTGTTGATGCAAGCAGCCAGATGCAGGGTGCCCAGGTCAGCAGAGGACAGGGTTCACTGAGGCAGAAAGGAGCTGCACTTCCACAGCACAGCTAGCAAGAGCAGCTTACACACTGCACACCGACCATGGGGTTGGTATTTTTTTATGTTTGGGGGTGGGGGGAGTTTTTTTTTCTCTCTCTTTTTTTTTTCTTTTGTCCTGCTTGCTAGCACACAGTTGAGAAGAAACAGAGACTCATGTTGGCTTCTTCCTTCAGTTCTGTGACTGGCTCAAGAACAGCTGATACACTCCTTAAGTGTAAGCACAGTGAGGTCTCTGTCCCCTCAGCGCCCCTCTGGTAGCAACAACAAAGCTCTAACTCAGTGGTATGTAAACCATGGGATGGGCTAGGACTTTGTACTACACTTTCCTTGATGCTGTTTGGAAGCCCTTGGGGGGATCTAAACCAAGGTCCACTGCCTTCTCGTTCCTGAAGAAAGGAAAGTAGCTGGGACAGATCAAGGCAGCAAACATCATTATTATGCAGCACTATTTCCTCACCTGTGAAACACTTGCAGATATCTTCATGCGTCACATATGCTAACGTTGCCAGAGTTAAGGAGAAAGGCTATAGTTTCCTGGGAGGACAGAACTCAAAGGACACACATTTCCTTCCTGAGCTCAAGAAATGCCATCCTAGAAGGCTCTCCACACCATTCTCTGAACAGGTGGGCAAGGTCTGATATCCTAAGAGGACACAGGAGCCGCAAGAGCAGCGCCACACTCCTGGGAGGACAGAACTCAAAGGACACCCATTTCCTTCCTGAGCTCAAGAAATAGCATCCTAGAAGGCTCTCCACACCATTCGCTGAACAGGTGGGCACAAGCAAGAACGCAGCACCCATGGCTCAAAGTGGAACAGAGCTCTCATCAGCACCAACATTACAGCCTCAGGGAACTTCATAAAGCCAGACAATATTCTGGATGCACAAGCTCGCTCTCTCACACCGCTGCGCGCACTGCCGGGGAAGCTGTTTTTTAAGAGTAGATTTGCTTGCAAAGCCAGACACTGTTCCTTGACTCTTTCAGCACAGATCCTCTAGCAACACAAAGTCATCACTCCCCACCTCCCCACTCTGAGCAAGGCAGTCTGCCAACTAAGCCCTCCCATCCCTGCTTTCCAGCCCAGCAGGAGAGGGAGTAGTCAGTTTACACAAAGGATATCGACTGTTCTGCACGTCTTCTGTAACATTTTTGATGCTCTGCTGGACCCACATCTTCTGCTGCTCCAGCTCCTGCTCCCGCTGTTCCAGGTCCTCTATATCTGCCTTCAGCTCAATGAGTTTGTGAGCTATTTCACGTGTGTTGCAGCCAGGACCCACCCCTCTGTGCAATGTAGAAAGGAGTAACACACATGAGCCATCCAAAGCAACTCCAGCATTTTTCAGAGACCCTGCTGCCACCTCTACCATACATCAAGCTCAGATACGTAAGGCCCTAGAAAGCCTTACATGTACCTGCCCTCCATCCCTCCCTCTAGCACAGCAACATTTAGTGTATCCTCCCACGGGCTGACAGGATCCTCCCCAGTGCCACAGCTGGCACCTTTTCTGATCCAAGGCACTACAAATACTTGGTTTGAAAAAAAAAAAAAAAAAAAAAAAGCCACATGTACTTCAGCCTTCCCCATTACTAGCACCAGCCTAGCTTAACTGGAGGAAGTACAAGCACACACAGACCACTGAGGAAGTCTGATCTGAGGAGGGCATTTTAGCCACAAGGTCACTTTGGCAACAGCCCTGTGAAACCCTGCTTTCCTGCATGGGGAAAAGAGAGATGTTAGACAGGACCTTGCACTAAAAGGGACCCATGAGCGGTTTAGTCTTCTCTGTCACTCACTTCCATTGGATGCTGTTCTTTGATTTCTTCTCGATCAGCCCAATGCCTTCCAGGACGTTTGTGATATCATATATCCGCCGCTTCTGCCGCACCGCCAGTGTATCTGCAGCCTGCACAAAAGTTGAAGCCTGAACTCCAAACTCTCCGGCCTGCCTTGCTCCCCACCTCATGCCTCTTTTGCCCGTGTCTCCAACCATGAAGCCGCATTTTTAGCGTCATTGCAACAATCAGAAGCCACCAGTGCCCCTTTCTCCTGTTGCTTACCCAGCAATCTCCCCATTAATCACAAATCAAATTCCAGCCACCTCACTCAGGGCTGGAGCAAAACAAATTGTTCCGCAGCAGAATTCTGCTAGAAGACACTAGGCTGGCAGCCTAAAAGCTCAGTGCTGCACAACTTACCACTGTTTAGTAAAGTGGATACTCAAAAGGTCTTTTCTGTCCAAATTTCCTGTCACTCAATAAAGACAACAGACACCTGGTCCAATGGCAGATTTCTCTGTATGAAAGACTCCCCAGTGGGGGCGTGGAATAAATGCAGTTGCAAGAAGGCAGCTCCTGAGCAACCCTGCAGCTTCCCTGCCTTGCTCACTGCTGTTTCACCCCAAGGGCTCCCCTTCTTCTCGACTTGCTGCATACACCAGGCAGTGCTGAGCCTCCTGTACCCACTTCCACAGGACAGCTGAGCAGCAGCAGCACCGGCGACGCAGGCAGCGCTGCGCACAGAGGGGCTCAGCACGGACAAGATCTTCCCCTCGCACACACCGTCCTGGTGACACACCTCAGCTCCAGACCCAGCACGCAGCACTGCTCAAATCACACTGACCCATACAAAACCCACAAACACATAGTTTGAGCTTGTCTGACAACATCCAAAGAACTGGCAAGTTGCCGTAGCAGAGGACTGAAGCCTCTTCCCAGTCTTCCATTTCTATGTGCTCCCACACCTGCCTGGAGCCCATACAAAACTTGGCAGAGAGAACTAACACACATACCGCATACGAGATAATGGTATAAACCCCCTTCATAGAATGGGCTTCATATGTAGAGAAGACCTAGCTCTAAGTACCATCTATTTTATTAAGACAGATACATCTTCTAGATGAAGACCTTCAAAATGCTCAAGCAAGGTACATTTGCAGAACACGTCTCTACAGCATAACAACAGCAGGGCACAGTCCCTGGCAGAGGCTAATCTGATTTCACCTGCCTTCCTGCTGTGTGTTAGGGGACCAAAATACAGCAAGGAGCAACAGTTTCTCCCTTTTTATATCTCTTGGATGAAGCACTATAGGGATTCATCATTACAGCGCTCGAGTTCAAACAGGGGCTTGGGGGAGAGCGGGGCACCACACGACACAGCAAACACGGGCCGGGCAGCACGCCGGGCTGAACAGCGCCTGCACAGAGCAGCACAAGCCCGCACAACTCGAGCGGCAGC